CTTTCGTTTTTACCTGGTCATTTCCGCTTGGCGTTTCCGTTGTTGAATAGCTTTGATGTCAATTTCACTGTGCGTCTTGTCCTTCTTTTCTGACATATTTGCCGACACCATGAGATCACCGTTCTCTTTCAAGTGATTGTACATCTGTTTCATTCGGAAAGTTTCTACTAGATTCTGCTGAGGTAAACTTTTCCTGAAAAAATAGAATTTTCAGCTGAGTTTCACGCGAAATGTCAGCTGTTCACTGCCTCCTTTTCTCAGAGCCGAAGCTTTTCTGGGTACCCATTCGATTTGTCAACGGTATGATGCCCAACGAGTCGGTGAGCATTACCCTGGCTTTGTCCGCTAGGCTAGAAAGATCACGTGTTTACCGTCTATCATTCATACTGTAACGAACGACTCACCTCAGTACGTAACTGACTCCTTTCGTTGACGACAAGTGTCCAGTTTGTCTCAACTTTGCTTTTTTCCGTAAGCTCAGTTTGTGCAGTCGTTGCAGGTGGCGACCGGAACCTAGTACTGCTGACTCACCTTCTGATCCTCAATGCAACATTTTAATTTGCGTTTACTTTTGTCCTCCTCTTCCTTTTCTTCCTGTTCGTCAGTCGCGTAATGTTTCGTAAAGCTGTCGCGTATTTTTGGCAACGGAAATTCACCAGGAAGACGTTTGATTTCAACGGTTTGAGGACAGTTCGGAAAACGAGTGAAGACCCGCAACCTCAGTGGAAGTTTAGTCCTCGACGAGGTTGTGTGTTCGGTTGCTTTCATTTGCTTGATTTTCTTCAGCTCTTCGTCCATTTCCAAGTTGTCCAAAATAACAGCGACAAAAAGGCTGAGAACAATCTGTGTAAGTCAAAATTAGATATCGTCGTCTGGACGAGAGTTACACTTTATAAGACGGGACGTTTCGCAAAACTGCAAGACTACTGCAAACTAAATATTCAGCATTCATAGTTGTAAGCACCAAACCTCAGCTTAATGAAATTTTCATTTTTACAAAGTTTCTTCTTGTCAAATGTATGTCGGTAGAATTGAGTAGACATTTTCGAGAAAGCCGTGCATTCTGCTGCAGCCTAATCGACTGAATTTTATCCATAAATGGGATAAAAAATTATATGTACATAACTTCTAGTGACAAGCGTTCTTGGAACTGTGTCGCATTTAATGATGGTTTTCCTCAACGCTTCAGGGATGCAAAATTTTAATAGGAGTAAGGCTACAGTTGATTAGTAACTGACAACTCCCTTAAGGGATAACGTATCCAACTCTACTTCGACACCACCGACCGAGGAATAGATAGCGAGTCAATTGCTATAGTGAGGGACTTTGGAGATGTTGCTTGAAGTGTAAAAGTTATCCATTTTTCCTAATCCATGTGATAATTTACTAATCACCACGGAATGTAGCTCAATAATTATAACAAGCCAGAAGTGGTCATTGCTCAACCCTGCTTTCAAGCATCGTCAGTCTCTGACTTCCACTGCTCTGTCATGCAAACGTTATGTCATTCTGTGGCTAAGAAATCTCTGGGAAATGACCTAACTGTTATCCATGCTTTGGTCGATGTCGTTGATCACGACCTATAGCGTGAAATTTAATGCGGTAAATATTGAAAATACCTTGTTACAATACTAATTATGAGTAATGATAAATATCATGTTCTTACCAATGTGACAAGCAGGTGGTAGGTCACAAAATATATGGCCACTAGAGGAGCCAGCGCTTCCCCAACTGCCCTCATTGTTTCTACGACGACTTCAGTCCATTCTTCCTGGGTCATAATTTGGAACATGGCCATTATTGCCTATAAGGGAAAGAAACACAATAGAGCATTAATAGCGCAGGTGAAAATTTTAATATCTGACACTTACGTCTGGTAATGTTCTAAACTTGTCCAAATTATGAACGAAGCAGAACAGCTGGAGAGAAATGCTTGAAGTGATTAATAATAGCGCCATGGTAAACAACACTAGGCCACCGAGTTTCTTGCCAGGCCCAAATATCTAAGTAAGCCCCGGTTAGAAGAAAGCACCTCTGTCAGGTGTCCAAACTTTGTAAACGAAG